GGATAGAGAATAGCTGGTAGTCTCGCATTTCTCTTCGACCCTAGTATTCCCTATTTCATATGCCTTATTTTGGCAGCTTTCTGAGCAGGGTCTTTCAAACAAGGCATCTGCATTTCCAGGTGAGGATCCGTTCTGATGATGGATAGTTGTGTCCTCTGATGATGAAAGCAGTTTGTTGTTTTTTTAGATGGATAGTTGTGTCCTCTGATGCTGAAAAGCAGTTTGTTGTTTTTCAGATGGACAGTTGTGTCCTCATGCTGAAAGCAGTTTGTTGTCTTGTAAGTCCAAGAAAAAAAAGTATTTCCTTAGGAAGTCCAATCTTAGTAAGAAAGGATCTATAATATCTGCCACGTATGCGTGTATTCAGTCATATGATGTTCACATTTAACTTCCCATCTATGTCGATTTTATCCCCAGACGCAGTCTGGAGGGTAACATAGGATGGCATCCAAATGAGCTTATCCTTAAACTGTTGAGCTTAATCTTTCCGATTGATGGTAACATTAGCTCCTGTGTCAATGATCATATGGCATGGAACTCTAATGATATGCTTATTGATGGATAGTCCATTAGTATAACCACTCACTGCAGAAATCTTGAGCACTTTAAAACAGGGTTTTTCACTACTGTTCAAACTCGGCTCCGTGATATGGTCATTAATTTGTTTTCTGTGTCGTTGCTGGGAAATGATCCTATTTTTCGTGCTCTGGGGTATTTTGTAGTTCCTTCGTATGTGGCCTTCAGCTCTGTAGTCGCAGCACTTTGGTTTCTTGACACTCCTTTTCCGTCTCATGGAATTTAATTGCCTGTTTAAATCATCTGTCTTATTTTCTGTGCTCAGGAGTGTTCTGCAGTTCCTTCATATGCGGCCTTCAGCACCGCAGTTCCAGCACTTGAGGACTGGTTTCTTTTCACTCATGTTCTGCCTCAAGGCACTCGCTTGTCTGATAAAGAAATCTGTTTTATTTTCCGTCTCCAGGGGTGTTCTGCAATTCTCTCATATGTGGCTTTTAGAGCCACATTTCCAACACTTTTGAGCCAGTTTGTTCTCACTTCTACTCCGTATCAAAGCACTGAATTGTCTGGATAACACATCTAAACAAACCATCAACTGATCCACTGGCTCTGACTGGGTAGCAATCTCTACAAGTTGCTTGCTGGGCTGCCTTGAATTTCATGGCGTATACTAGAGTGCATTTTACATCCTTAACATCTGCCATTCACAGAGGCTTCTCTATTTTAGGATCCCGGATGCCGTCGATGAATATTGCAGGAACAGGAATTTTTTTCTGTCGGGCATTCCGAAATAGTGAGCTCCTGAAGTGTTTCTGTTGGCGGGATTTTAATTAAAGCCTGCTGTAGTCTTTTAAACAATTCTCCCCAAAGCAAAGCTACAACGCGCCGGACAGAGTTTCGAAGTTAAGTCTTTTGTTTTCGGGAAGAGTCTGAAGGATATCCACTGTGTCTGCTCTCAGAGAAGTAGCGAGATGACAGGCCTTAGCTTGGGGATCCCATCTATTCACTTCTGCCACTATAGAAAATTGTGTCTTATATACTTGCCAGGAGACAGAGCATAATTTGCAACGGAGCCCAGCTCCGGTACTTCTTAGTTTTGGATATAAATAATAATTTCAGCTGGAGCGCACCAAAGCCCTAAATAAGTAGGCTGCAGCACTTTTTATATGTATATGAACATAAATTTCAGTAGAAATGACTTCGAAATTTTTTATTTTTAGTAATAAAAAAAATCTGAAAGCTTTCAGATTTCATAATACTCCCAAATGGGCTTTTGGAACTACTCTGATATGCACCCTCAAGTCACTAAATATTTTTGGCGAGAAACTTCACACTGCCATATTACTATCTAAATTTTTTGTCTACATTACAACTTTTAGCCTAAAATGTCTCCAAAAACGCGGTTTTCGCACATGCAAATACTACATTTTGAACACACAATTTAGCTAAAAATCCGAAACAAAAACAAAAAATTTAGATAGCAAAAACGTAAAGTTTCTAACCAAAAATATTTGACAAGAATCCATGTACACAGCGACATGTTTTAACTTAAAAAAAACATCTACGAATTGCACAATGTAGGCAACGAACGAATCTACAAACTACGCAGACCTCGCTTTAATAAATTAACAACAATAAATTTCAAAGAATACCATGTACACACAGCCTCCTGTTTAAACTTAAAAAAATTCTACGAATTGCACAATTATAGGCCAACAGAAGGAATCTACGAATCTACGCACTCCTCCACTTTAATAAAATTAACATAACAAGAATAAATTTCAAAGAATACCATGTACACAACCGTTCTGTTTCAACTTTAAAAAAACATCTACGAATTGTACAAGTCTAGACACTGCGCACAAATCAACAAAATAAACTAAAATAAATTTACACAATAATTAAAAAAAAACATACAATAACGACATAAATTTCATAGTAAAAAAACCAATGAACATAACATTCTACAAAATAAGAACAAGGATAAAATAAAATGCACTTACCATGAATTAATGCGTTTTCGAATAGCAGAAATATAAATTTCATACCGCCTTTAACATGCCGCCACGTAATCACTATCGTATTTACATGACAGCCAGACACACTATCCAGAAATTTATACTATGGTTCACAAATAAATAAAATCACAAATCCCTACTTCTATCATGCACTGCCATTAAAAATAATCTCCCAGACCCTCTTTCCACAGTTCCAAATACCCACTACCCCTCAACAGGATAGCCACAATCATATTTCCTTTTGCCGAACTTCAATTCAACAACTACCATTTTATCTTTCCCTCCCATCTTCTCAGACACAGAGGCGAACCAACGAGCTCCAGCGAAAGATTTCTCAACGTCAATAGGGTTACCATAGAACATGCAATCTTGCCAAAAACCAGCGCAGAACACATATCGCCAGATTTGGTGAAATTAGGGCGTATATTAGAGTTGTACCGGGCTTTTTATTAATTTACATACATGTTTTGAGAGTATTTGGGCTAACGTCAAATTGTGCTAAAATATTTAAAAACAGCATATCTTTAAATTTTCAGATAGACATTCTCATGTGGAGATAAAAATGTTTTATTCCCTATAGTGTTGCCCCTGTTAGCTTTGCAACTGTAATGAATTTTTAAAAATTCATTACGGTTTTATAAAATATGAAATAGACAGTAAAACAAATTCCAAATTCGGGCTTCCAAGTGCCCACATTCGAGTGTAGGACTATTCAAAATTGGATGACTTTAGTTACCGTTGTTTATTCACAATGCGAGAAACCTACATACATTAATGTAGATTCTTCATAATTTAGTTTCTTTAAATATAACATTTGTTGGCAACAATTTGAAAAGTGATTCAACGCAAAATGCCATTTTGAGACTAATAGCCCTTCTGGGCTAAAGACCATTTGGCCTTATTGTATAAAAATCAATTATAAAATTTTATATTTTTTCAATTTAAATTATTTAATTACTTTAATCATTTATTATTTTATTGTTTTAATAATTAATTATTTACTTTTTTAATTATTAATGATTTTATATTTCACTTTATTTATTTATTCTTTCTCCTTTTTCCTGACGGTCTCTCATAGCGCTCCGGCACTTCTAATATTAGAAATTAAGCCCTCTCAGGAGGTTTTACCATCATAAGCAGATAGCTTCAAAGAAGAAGGAGGAGGCACAGATAAAAATTTAAATCCATAACGAATTGCTTCCTGTTGTCGCTATGCATTTCTTTAAATTGTCACTTCTTTGGCGATATCAACAGAAACCATGCCTTCAAATCGTTGTTCCACGGCAGAAACTCTCTCCACTATTTTTTCTTTTATAGATGAAACCCTTTCTTATATTTCTTCTTTTACCAAAGAAATTCTTTCTTCAATGTGTTCAACTTTATTTTCAACTGCATCAATTCTGCCTTCCAAAGCCTCGAATCTGTCTTCTATTATGCAGGTAATTTTTCTTTTCATTTCCTCTTGACCTGCCTTAATCTTTTTTCTTAACAGCCTTGATTTCTTCTTTAACAGATACTTGACGCACTTTCATCTCCACTTTAACAGATTCTTGAGCAGCTTTGACAATTCTTGGCCCGCATTCATTTCTTCTTTATATGCAGCAAAGGCTGCTATCAGCCGTCTTAACTAAGTAAACAACTAATAAACAACTGAACTGAGATGTTTTAATTCGGCTTTTAGAAGCTTTTTAATCATGCTTGAGAATTCTGGTAATTTTTATTTCTCGGGTTTTCTGGAAAGCAAAAGCAATTACGAGATATCTATTTATTAAATGTGCGTGCTCCTGTATTTTAACTTTTCTGGCATAGATTTCTCTTCAAATAAGTCTCGTGCTGCATTGCATGGGGAAATGAAACAATTTAATTACAGTTCTACTAAAAATAGCAAGCTAAATACAAGAACGATAACAATGCCTATCTGAGAAAACAAGACTATACTGAAATCATAGGTTAAAGGAAAATATGCTAAATCTTATAAGAATATCAATGCTGGAGAATTTATAGCAAATTTTACTGTTGTGAGTGAAAGATGCATTAGCAAGAAATTTACCAGTAAGCTGATCTACATTAGCAGCTAAAGCAAGTGAACTTTCTTAGTTTGTAAAGCTTTTTTTCTGCAGATTTCCTGTAAATTGATTTTATGAAACACTTTTGATAATTTGAGCAATTTTGTTAGTCCCTACAAGCTTAAATTAACAAGACTCTATTGTTCTTACGAGTTTGTATTAATAAGAATCCATTCTCCTCACAGTTTTGAGTTAATTATACATGTTTTAATGTATTACATGTTTTAATTAATGAGAATCAACTGTCCTTATGACTAAGCATTAAAGAAAATCCACAAGTTTCCTTACAAGTTTCAATTAATGACAATTCAGTATCATTTGATTTGATATCTGTTGCTACTTATTAGTAATGAATAGTTATGGTGATTAATTATTACCTCACAATATGTTACATAGTTACCTGTTAACTTAAAAGCTTTGGAAACAAATGGCACAGCATCCCAAGGGTTTGGAAGATCCAAAATGACCGCATCGGCCAGATGTTCAATGCCAAATCCTGAGGAACATATGTCTCGATGCTCAACTTTGACATGGGAACTGAGACCATGTGCTAAAAATTCTTTTTCTGCAACTTCTGTCCTTTGCTGATGAAAATCAAAAGTATACAGAAAACCATTTGGTGCAATGGCTCTTATTAAAGCATGTGATAAAGATCCACTGCCAGTTCCTAAAGAAACAAACAAATTAAGGAGTTACATACACAAATCTTAAAACTACTGCAAGTCATAACAGATTATTAGCTAATATTTCAGTTTGATTTAGGAAACAGACATATATATAACTATAAAAATGAATAATACTAAGTAAAAAGCAATTCAAAATGTAATCTAATTGTATACCAAAAGCAGCAACAAATGATAGTAATAACACAAAATAAATTTAAAATGTGTTTAAATTCCATCCCAATTTGTAAAAAATCATACATAAGGGGGAAAAAAAAAGAGAACAAAGTGGCATGCTGCATGACAGGTACAAAAAATGCCAAAACGAAAAAAGAAATGTACATTTCTTGCTGCATCATCATCAGGGAATTGGTGCAAGAAAAGAAGTAAATACATCAGCCTGGTTTCTGAACAGACATAAATTACAGTTTAATACTTAAAACAATCTTTGAAAATCAATCACAGTAAACTGTTTGGGCAAAACATCCAGAAGCAACACCCAATTCCTGTCCCCAAACACAGCATACATGATTTTCTAGACTGAAACTGTTTGCCTGAACTATACTCTCTGCTGCCATTCCATGGATTGCTGCTTCTATTCTGGTGTAGGTAAGTCACCCAGGTTTCATCGTCTGTGACAATTTGGCTTAAAAAATCATCACTTTCCTCACTGTACTGCTGAAGGAAAGCTCTATCTATACTTTTACTTTTGTACACCTCTGTCAACATTTTCAATACCTAACATATGCATAATTTTCAAAAATGTAAGTGTCCACTCACAATTGCATATAAAACACTGCATGAAACCCAAGGAAAGTTATCAGATAATGACAAAATCGTAAAGCATCTGCTCTGTTTCACTCATCATATTTTCTGTAACAAATCTTCAGTAATGACAGAAGGTCGCCCACTTCGTTCATCATCATGAAAATTCATGCTCCAACCCTATTCCATTGCTAATAATGCTTTTGGCATACACTTCACTAATCTAACAATGATTTTCAGCCGTTTTCACATCTTTAGCACTGAAACGGATCACGGACCCTATTTCACATTAAACACGATTCTCAGTTGGCGAAGCTATAATACTCAAAAACAAACGTTAATAAGGTTGAAAGTTTCTAAAATGGTGTCTGTGCCTTGGCAACAGATGCAGGTACACAGTGCACAAGCGTGGAATGTTGACTGCAACACTGCCGGAATTTTGAAACGGTACTTATTTTAAAAACATCCCTTGTGTGTGTATATTATAAATAGATATACATATGTATATTATTTATATACATTTAAGAAATGCAATGACTATCTTATTATCTATTTTACTAAAAAAAAAAAAAGAACAAAAACTTTAAACTGCCTTAAAGTAGGAATAAATATACATTATGAAAAACTTGGTTTAAATTTAAATGAAGCATATGAATCATGCATAACAATGATTAGAAAAATAAAAATTCTGGCAGATAAGCTATGCATTATACAGGGTTTGACCAAATTTGGAAATGCCAAAATAAAAACATATTGTTGTGACTAACACTGTGTAAGAAAATCACTGGCATTCAAAACAGCTTGCAGTCTACTCAGAATGGATAAATAAGAGGCCTTGTATGCTTTACAAGAGAATCTTGTACCATTCTTCCTGTAAAACACTGGCAAATTCAGTTAACAATGATGATGTTGTGTAGTGCTCACGCCGATTTCTCTCAAACATAGCCCACAAAGGTTCAATAATATTGATATCTGATGACTGTGTAGACATGTAGATGTGAAAGTTCACCATTATGCTCAGAAAACAAGTCCTAGACTATGTGAACCTAATGAACACAAGTTCTGTCATCTTGGAATATTGAACCACCATTGGGGAATGAAATTTTTACCATAGGATGGATATGAGGCAGTAATGTGACCTTGCATAGTAATGATAAGACCCATGAAATGCCATGATATGGCTGTGCTCAAACTATGATTGAGCCCTCGCCATGTTCCATTCTTGGCAGCAAACAGTCTCTATCATACACTTGGAATGGCAAAGTCAGAAACAATGTGAAGCAGCAAGACTTATCTGACAAAATGACAGTCTTCCGTTGTTCTAAAGTCCAGCTTTTATGATTTTGGCACAACTTTCTCCTCTTACAGGCATTCTGATGACTGGCTTTTGAATCGCAGCTCGCCTAAAAGTCCACTACTAGTAGAACTCCCTTCATATTGTTTTGGTGCTGATACAGTTTGCGAGTGTGACATTCAGTTCAGCAGTCACTTTTGTGGCTGTACTCTTATTTTTTATCCCATTCTTGTTCAGTGATCGCCTGTCATGCTCACTCAACGCATATTTTTGTCCTTACGGTGATTTAGATGCGTTTTTCCCAGTTTTCCTGCGCAAGTTAAAAATCTTATCTCGAAACACCAAACACTTTAATGCTACCTTGATGATGGATGCACCCACCACATGAACACCAACAATTTGTCCATGTTTGAATTCATTTAGTTCTGAAATGATGCACTCACAAATGCACAGAACATTGTCTCAATAATGAATGATACTTGCAATATTTTGAGGATGTTGTACAGGTGGTGTTATTTAGCAAACACATCAATGCCATCAACAGGTTTTTGCAAGAATAAACATTTCATGTTTATCAAACATGAATTTTGAAACCTGTTCCACATTTGTGTCCAATCCCCGTATGTATATTTTTTGCAAAAAGGCAGAATATCAAACTCTAGATGCTCCAATATCTAAAATTTGAAATTCTGCCTTTAAAAAAATATTGGTACTTTCCCATTTTCGCATGGTGTCAAGATTATTGTCATGTTTGTCTACTTTTCATATGTAGTCCCTGGCTGCCATATTTTTGATTGCTTTTAATATGGCATTAAAAGCATTTTCTTGGCCTACAGATAAGATATGATGACAAGCTGAAAATTGTTCCTTTTTAATTTGCCACTTAGTGAAGCCCCACAGTCTTTCAACATTTTGTGTATGGGCAGCAATTTCCAGATCCATCAAATGAAATTTATCATTCACAGGGGAGTAAATATATCCCACTTTCCCCAGTTCTTCTCCTTTGTATCTTGGATGGTTCAATTGGTATACAGCTAGAGCTTTCATCATTAATCATGGAGTTTTTACCCTGAGGTGATGGTAACATATTAAATAACAAGCACTATGTGCTCTGCTGACAAGGCAAGGTATACTGTGCTTGCGCCTTCTTCTGGTGACACAAAACAGAACTTTTCTTCAAATTCATCAGTTAATAAGCTGTTCAAGTGTGAAGAATGATACAGAACTTCATGAAAACTGAGATTCAGTTTTCATGAAGTAATTGAGGATTAGTTATTAACCCAAGTGGAATGCATGTGTAAATTATGAAGGTAACTGAAGATACAATACAAGACTGAAGATATAAGACAATGATAAATTATTTATAGTAAAAGACGACAACGTTTATAAGGCCTGCTTTGTCAAGCATTGTACAGCAGTTTATAACTTGCTTTGCCAGGCATGTTAAACACAAAAAAATATAGTTTCACTGTATACACAGTCAAAGTCCCTATTCTGCTTTGCCAGTAATAAGTAAATGCCATATCTGCTTTACCAAGTGAGGAAAAGACTAATAAAATTATGTAAACGAGTAACTCATATAGAATAACACTTATAAAGTAGACAAATTGTCATTCTTAATTTTGCATATTTACCATTTTGGGTCATGATGAATTGATTTGGGTTCTTTTTAAGCATCTTCTAAGGCTGGATCATAATCAACAAGTTTTCTTATATGCGGATAATCTGAATTTTGCATTTCTCAAAAAAAAAAAAAAAAAAAAACACTTGAGCCCCTTTTCCTGAATACCTAAAGACTTTTTGTGGTGCCATCTTTCCCTGATGGCCCTGAATAAACAAGTTGTCAGAATGTATGCTTTTCTTTTGCTTGCAGTGCTTTACACTGCGCCTCCAAATCCTTTCATTTATATATAGTTTGATGTTGTAGCCATTTCTGTGCATTTGAATGCATGGTAAAAGGTCCTTTTATTAGAGGAAAGATCTCGTTCAATTCTTAACAATTTGAAAATGCAACCTATCACAGCTGTTATCTTCCTCAGTCATCAGTTAATCAGAAACTGCCAAAATATGTTTGAAAAAAAAAAAATATTAACAAGCATCCTGCTCACAGCTTTCCTGATAACAAATAAACTATTTAAATGATCATTGTTATGTAACTATCAGTCCAACTTTCAAAATGTAAGAATTATAAATAATGCTGAATGCAACAAGATTTATTTAAATCGCATCATAGAATAAATGACATCACACAGAGCAGTAATCATCTCACAGAGCAGTAATCATCTCACAGAATTGTAATACATATCTTAAAATTAATTCAAAAACCAATATTTTTGTATACAGTCAAAAGTTTATTATCAGTGGCTAAATAAACAGCAAATGTGATTTATTTTAGCAGTTACCATCAGTACTGTCACTGGTGATTTGTCGTAATTCTTGGCAGCATTTAAAAAACCAAAGCCATAAAAAAGGATGTAAAAAATATTTGGTTTAATCCTAGTATCCGGTACACACAGGATTTGGCTACTTCTGGCGACTTTGATGAGCAGTAAAAACGGGACATACACGATGAGTAGTAAACGGGTGATTCAAAGAATATATATAATTATACATAGCATACAACATACATGTATATACTATGTGTATAGTGATAGTATATAGTGTATACATAGACGTTCTTTGGGTCATTTCGTTTGGTGTTGGCGACAATTTTCAAAATAGCGCCAAGGCTGCACCGTATACTAGAATTTTACCAAATATTTTCTTTAAAAGTCTTTTTTTTTTTTTTTTTTTTTTTTTTTTTTTTTTTAATGTTAGAAATAGCTTTACATCTTTCATAACATGTTGTATCAAAGCATGAGTCACGGCTCTAGAATTGGTGCCCCTTCGATTAGCGAAAAATTTTGTTCAGTTTTAGCGATGAAACACCATTTCTGGTTACCATGATAGTTTTAGCTTCCTGATTTTTCAAGTGAAAATAGATCGATGTGTACACGGAAAAAGTTAAGGCAGTGAACAATGCCTAGTTTGTGCAATTCTGATTTTTTTTCAAGTGAAAATAGATCGATGTGTACACGGAAAAAGTTAAGGCAGTGAACAATGCCTAGTTTGTGCAATTCTGATTTTTTTCAAGTGAAAATAGATCGATGTGTACATGGATACCAAGTCTGCGTAATTCTTTGATTTCTTACTTTGATTTTATCTAGTGGCCCTTTTCAAACTATGCCTTTCTTGCACCAATCTTGGCATCAAAAAAGAATCGCCAAAATAACAACAGGCACGAAACTGCAAAAAATTTTACCCAGAGTTATTTATACCTCCTTCTTAATTCAGTTCTAGAAGCTGATGCAGTCAGTGTAAGATCAAGGAAAGTGCAGAATCACCCCCTGCTTGGCACGTTTTTAAGATTTGCACTAACTCGGTATCCACGTACACATCGAGGACCTATTTTCACTTAAAAAAACATCACAGAATTGCACCAACTCGGCATTGTGCACTCCCTTGATTCTGCCATCGATCTATTTTCACTTCAAAAGTCAAAGTAAATTGACAAAAATTCAATTCTCCTTACTCTTGTAAAAAGAACCAAACTAAAATGTGCCAAATAAGTGGGCAATTCTGCACTTCACCTGTAAGATCTTTATTTTATAAAAGTACCTAATACACAAATTCAATAAATTTTATCCATAACTTTAATGTAATTTACACAACAAGTATTTTTTGTAAATATTCATAGCTACTGTAAATGAAAAATTAATATAACATAAGACAAGATTAAATTACCTATGGAATAAAACGATATTCTTTCTTACCAGCTTCGCAAACAATCGAACCAGGTTTCAAATCTAATTGCACAATTATTAAGCTGATATCAGCAGCATACAATATTTGCGTTCGATGGGGAAGCGTTATCGTCCACAGTTCAGGAGTTGGAAAAAGCACATAAACCCAACCTCTTGTGCAATTTACACAGCTTCCAAACTTCTGACCAATTACATCATTATGTTTTAATGCTCCATATTTACTCTGAAAAACACTATCAGCTTTCATAGTAACTGGGTACATATGCCGAACATCTAAATATACTATTACTAGATCTCCTTCTTCAATTATGCTTTTGTATTTCAACATATCCATAAGTATCTCTCGATGGAAAGGAAAAATGTTTTCCTAATATAAGTTCAAGTTCAATAGCAAAGCAAGAAAATACGGAGCCTACAATGTAAGTTCAATCGGTTCAATTACTTCATCGAAATCAGTTGTTGACAGTTAGGAGCTGTTTGCTTCACTATTGTACAAGCGTCTAGCCCCTCAGATACTAGTTTCCTCCCGATTCCTCCCTGATCATTTGCGCAGATTCACGCGCAGCGTGTTTACTCCAAGGAGCACTAGCGTCTACATCCCAAAACGGCAGCCTATGAGAGAGGCGATTCTATTATTTTCATCAGGGAGTACCTAAGTTAGAATGGTTTTTTTGAGGAACGCCAACGGCTGTGCGCGATGTTTGTTTACATTAGGAAGTTCAGAAAATTGCAAAGGTGGATTGCCTTAGTTTCTGCGGTTACTTTCAAGGAAATATTAAACAGTTTTTTTGGTTTGCTGATAGATGGCAAATAGATAATTTACCTTTATAAATCCGCGTTTATCTATTTAAACTTCAGAAGATTTAAGATGAAGTGAATATATTTAACACAACAGAATGCAAGCTTAAGACTTGTAAATCTTTTAAAAAAACAATACATCGATAATTAAAAATATTATTTATAGTTCATTATTAAAAACTTTTTATAAATGCATAGTTATCATATAATTAACAATTCATCCATGCATTATCTCATTATTTATTATAATTAAAAGAGAAGATATTTTTTACAGTAATGTTTAAAAATTTGCTGTTGTCTTTTAAAAGATTTACAAGTCTTAAGATTGTGTTCTGTTGTGTTAAATATATTCGCTTCATCTTAAATCTTCTGAAGTTTAAATAGATAAACACGAATTATAAAGGTAAATTGTCTATTTGCCCTCTATCAGCAAACCGAAAAAACTGCCTAATATTTCCCTGTAAGTAACCGTAGAAACTAAGGCAATCCAACTTAGCAATTTTTTGAACTTCCAAATGTAAGCAAACATATAGTCCACTGCCGTTGCATTCCTCAGAAAACCATTCTAACTCTCCTACTCCCCGATGAAAATAATAGAATCGCCTCTCTCATAGGCTGCCGTTTTGGGATGTAGACGCTAGTCTCCAAGGAGCTCGGCGTGGTCAAAGCCGCTTTTTTTAAAATGCCGTGCGTTTAAAACGTTACGAACTGGGTGCGCATTACTGAGTGTAAATTAATTTTTTTGTTAGTTTTTCTGAAATAGTTTTCTTTTTAATTGGTATACATATTTACTTGTTCAGATGTTTTATTATAAATCTTTACATAAAGGAAGAATTCATGATTTATTCATCTACAGATCATCGCCCAAAGCTATTAGAGATACAGATATCAAAACTTAGGAGCTTATTCCTTTTGTACCGAAGATGTCATTTAAGAAGCGATTTTTTAAGATTCGGTGGGCAAAACGTGTTTTTATGCTTTTTCATATAAGGAAGAAACAGATGTACATAAGGTTATTGCTTTAAAATGTATGGAATATGAATACCTAAAAACCAATTTCAAACGTTTTCAAAATTCTGCCCCGAAGGGGGGGAAACGTGTTCTTCACATATCCATAAGACAAACTTATGTATTATTGCTGTAAAATGTAAGGAATACGAATAAATGCTGACATCAACATGTGTGGGGAGGGGGACTGATTGGCATAAAATACAAGTTTATATAATGTACAAGTAAGCCTTATTAAAGGTACACACCAGGTATATAAAGCTAGTTAGTATAAAAAAAAACTTAAGGTTTCTATTATTTAATGTTATTAATAATTAAAAACCCCAAAATAAAAATGTAGCAGCATGTGGCAATTCAAAAAACTGTGATGAGATTGTTACAATGTTCAGTTAATTTTAAACAATTCTACACATAATAAAATGGCCAGTGCACAACATGTGAATGTACATGGGGTTGAATAATTAGAAAATAAAAAACTTGACAAGTATTAAATAGCAAGTATTAAATAGTAGAAAATATTGCTTACTGTTCAAATTTGGGATTGACTCAGTTTCTCCAAAATATATTTATCTACATTAAAACGTTTCGTAATAATCTATTGACTGAATAGTATAAAAGTCAATGAATGAATGATTATATGGACAATATTTGGTATTGTTGAACTTGGGGGGGGGAAGGAAGACAGTAATGCAAGGAGGATGAACAAAAATAGACTTACTCATTAATCACAGAATACATCAGCCTATCACGAAGACCTGAGATAAAGGTTGTTCCCTGTTCTGACCTTCTACATCTGTTCCTGATCATTTTAAGGATCAGAGTTGGAATTATCTTATTATTAAAGAGAAGTTCTGAAGATTGAGAGAGAGAGAGTATTATATAAATAAGAAAAAAAAATATCATCTGACACATATAGGCATTCATTATTTGATGTTCAGATTTTGAGCATGAAGGTGCATTTGCCCCTCGCTCCCTATTTTAACTTCTCTAATTTTTCTTGTCCTTTATGCTTGATCTGCCTGGCTCAGTAAAAGTAGGCGGCCAGTGCAACATTGATTAAAAAGCCAGTTATAACCACGTGCAGTGCTGATAAGGGCCACATAATAAAATGTCCAGTGCACATAATAAAGATGTTTCTGAGACTCCTTCTCCTTTATTTTCTTCTTTCTAGGTATTTCTTTCTCCTGATGATGAGGGACCTTTAGCTGCCCTCGAAATCAATTGAGTGTTTCACTATACTTACGCTAAATACAAGGTTGTTTTTACGATTTTGATTCACTTACAGGCAGTTGAAAGAAGATATTTTAGATCATAAAAATGGACAAAAGGAATTGTGAATAGGTACTAATGACTATTGTTAAAATACAGTGGCTCCCAAAAGTGTTAGTACACTTATGATTTTCATTGAAATAGGGCTCTATCCATTAATCAAAAGTAAACTTTCTGAATGAGACTTTAATAATAAGATTTATAATCTATTTGTAACAAAATTACATGAAATATTTTTTAAATATAGCAAAAATTCATTTTTAAGAAATTAATAATCAAAAAAATGACAAACATTTTATCTCACAAAAGTCTTCGTACACTTCAAAAAAAATCTTGACATATTAGTAAATATTTTCATTTTTCGTTAAATTAATATTAGTAGGATATCCTTTAGCATCCACAACAGCTTTTAAACATCTGGGAATAGATTTTACTAGTTTTTTTTTTTTTTTTTTTTTTTTTTTTTTTTTTTTTTTTTTTTTTTGTAATTTCTGTATTAATGTTCACCCATTCTTTCCATCATGGCGGTTTTGAGTTCGCTTTTCGTTTTGATTTCGTATTCTAACCTCCAGCTCTTTCCAAATGTGTTCTATGGGGTTTAAATCTGGCGACTGAGGTGGTGTTTTCAAAACCTGTGGACAATTATAGAGACACTACTGGCAAACATTGAGAGCCGTATACTTAGGATCGTTATCATGATTAAAAATAAAGTTGTTTCCAATACCTAAATTTTGGGCTGATAATTTTAAATTGTCTCTTAAATATTTAAATAAAAAGAATGATTCATTATGCCATCAATAAATACCAAATTACCTAGTCCTGATGCTATCATGCCCCCCCACAAGAACACCTCCACCGCCATGCTTAACTGTTCCAACTAAGTTCTTAGAATGAAGTTCCTCATTTTTTCTTCTCCATACAGTTATTCGGCCATAGGAACCAAAAATGTTAAATTTGCTTTCGTCAGCAAATAGGACATTATTCCAGTACGTTTCGGGTGTATTTATGATTGATTTTTGCGAATGCTTTCTGTTTGCCTAAGCTTTCTGTTTTTCTCACTAACAAAATTATTTTTACGGGCAGAACGCCCATGTAATCCAGTTTCTCTGAGAACTCGTTGAACAGTTTCAGGTGAAATCGAAGTAGAAAACTTTGCATTAAATTCTGCAGAAACTTTTACAGAACTCAAACGTGGGTTTTTTACAAATTTTCTAAGAATAAATCTCTCATCACGTTTAGTTAACTTTCTCGGTCGACTTTTTCTTACCTTGTTTTCAATCCAATTTTCTTCTTTAAAGCGTTTTATCACATACTGCACTGTAGAATGGGGTAAATTAACTAATTTATTGATATTGCAAATTTATTTACCACTACTATGGTGAAAAATGATCAATTTTCGAATGCTGTAATTTCTTTACGACTGCGACCCATTTTTCAATAATAAATAGAATATTATGAAGTAAACAGTAAACAATTAAAGCAAACGATTTTTTAAATGCCACCAGAATGTAAAAATTAAAAAAAAGCAACTGATTATTCTAATTTTGATTTTATCCAAAAATATTTCAGTGTACGAAGACTTTTGTGAGATAAAATATTTATCATTTTTTGATTATTAATTTCTTAAAAATAAAGTTTCGCTATATTTAAAAAATATTTCATGTAATTTTGTTACGAATATATTATAGATCTTATTATTAAAATCTCATTCAAAAAGTTTAAATTAATGGATAGAACCTATTTCAATGAAAATCATAAGTATGCAAACACTTTTGGAAGCCACTGTATATATTTTTCATTAGATGTGTTAAGTTTCTTCAGTGAAATTATGTGTAAAATTTTTGTGATCCAAAATAATTTTTAGAACTGTATTTTTGTCTTCATTCTGTGAAGTTACTGTAGAAGTTTTTGTCAGTTTCCTTTTCGTTTTGTATTTGAGAATCTTTTGGGTATTATATTTTTATTAGGTGGAATATCTTTATTAGCAGTTTGGGAAATGTATTTCTTGCGCATTTAACATATCAGCAGCTTCTAGTTATAGTGGTGCTGATTTTAGAATCTTGTTTAACACATCACATTGTTTGTCAGATTTTAATGAATCTACTAATTCTAAACATGTTTGTTATAGTTCATTCGGCTAATCTTTGGAATATGGTAACAGGTAGTTTGGCGACATTTTGGTAAGGCGATGAAAGTTACTAGCTAGGACTTTAGCAGTGTAAATGGATAAAGTCAAGAGTGTGCGCAATGCCATTTTTGTGCAATTCTGGGATTTTTTTTTAAAGTGAAAATAGGTCGACGTATACATGGATGATACCGTGTATGTGCAGTTCTTAAAAAAGCGGCAAGCAGTGGGCGATTCTGCACTTTCTCTCAATTTCGCACCTAATCTTCGTCATGATTAAACATTTTTGTTCCATAAAAGTTCTAGTATAAGCGTAATTCGGCTAGC